GCCTACACAATCACATCAAATGGAGGTTGGCTGAATAGTGCAATAAAGCCATTACACATGAAGTCATATTCAATATCTAGCTTCATCCGTTACCAAGATGAGCATATTGAAGATCCATCAAGCCTTGGTATATTAGCTGTTTTTATCGCGTATATTGTGTGAATATATTTCAAGCTCAATATATATATATACAAACACACAAGTTTGTTTTTATTACAAAATGAGTTTATTTAAGAAAACAATACAATATTGGTTTATTAATCTTGTTTACATTACATTCATGTTTTATAACGTTTATAAAAATATTTCATAAAGTTTCCACATGTTCTTACATGTCAAACTTCATTTTCAAGATTCATCAAAAATACGTACTATGTATATTTTTGATAAACATTGAGTTTTTAAAAATATGAGAACCTTTTTGCAAAATTCCTTTTTAAACAAGTTTGTCAAAATGTTTATAAACTGTTTATAAAGTTTCATTTTTTTTGGGTATTTATTTACTATTTTTTACAGAGTCTTGAAACTCAATTTCAAAATCGATTCAAGCTGATAACCTGTTATCAGTCGACTGGCCAGTCGACTGATGACATCAGTCAATTGATGTGTCGACTGATGAAAGTGCCTGTAATCACCAAAAGTCTCTATTTCATTTTGGTCGACTGACCAGTCGACTGATGATTCATCAGTCGACTGATAAAGGTAGTTAGTCGACTGATGAGCTGGTAAATGCTTACAACGGTCAGCTCATCAGTCGACTGATAAAACCACCAGTCGATTGATAAGCTTTCCAACGACTAGTTTTGTGTAGTTTCCAGATTTTTATTTTTTGAGCTATTTTGTCTTTTTCTCTGGGTTTTGGCTGATGTCTTGAGTACCTATAAACACCCCAGTGCATTCAACTCTTACAAATATGAAGAAATTGTTTTAAATCAAGTTTTGAAAGAGTTTAGTTGGGTTTAAGCATTGTTTTAAGTTTGTTTCAAAAGGGGAGTTTTTCACAAGGAGGAAGCTTTTGATTTTAACTGAGGAATTCATCCTCATCATCTATCTACAGGTCCTTGTGTTTATAGAGAAGATTTCTAACTCTTTTATCTAGTTTATTTATCTTTTGATTTTCATATTCATATCTTAGCTAGTTTTATTTAAGTTAGGATTTTATTATTCTCATTTATCACACACACTTCAATTGAGCTTTTAATATTATTCATACAATATATTATTAGGTTGTGGTGAGTGATTTAGTGAGAGTGAGTTTCATAGTGTTCTCATTCATTGTTAGAGAACAAATCATTGTACTTGAACTTTATTTGTGAGAATCACCTTGAAATACACATTTACACCAAGAGGAGTGTATGGTGAGTACTTAGTCGATATCAAGAGGAGTGACGTCGGTAGTAAAGCCTAGAGAGAGGTAGTAAAGTTGAGCACTTGAGGAAGGCGATACGTGAGGACCAACACTTGAGGTTGTAGTTTGTGTATGTACATTGTGAGAGATTTGTAGAGTTTTCGGTGAGCTAGAAAAAGGAGTGTGTAGAGATGTTCTGGCTTTCAAACCGGGTGTGTCAATAGTGGAGTTCTCCCCGGGAGTGGGGAGAGGAGACGTAGGACGGAAGGTCCGAACTCCGTGATCATATCATTGTGTTTGGATTGCTCTTTGTGTCCACTATTTGTTTATATTGTTTCTTGTTTATTTTGCCCTTTGCATATATATCATTGCTTTAATTCAATCGAATATCTATCTTGCTAGGATATATTTGTTAATTAATTTTAATCAGCATTAATATCTAATAAGATCAGTAATAACCCTATTCACCCCCTCTAGGGTACTTTCATTGGGGGTGGTTACACCCCGTAAACCCTCATTAAGGAGAGATTTAAGGGGGCGGTTACATCCCTTAAACCCCTATAAATAGTGGGTTTCACGGCTGGATCTTAAAGAAGAGAGGATCAGAGTTAGGGAAAGGAGGCGATCTTGAAAAGAGGGGCTTTGGCAGAGGCTTTTGGAGATCTTCGGTTATCTTAGAGCTTCAACAATCTTGAACGATCATCCTTGAAGATTCTAAAGCTTTGGAGCAACTTCTTGGCCTATAAACCGATTTTTAGTTAAATCAATTCAACTCTTTTACAGAGTTTGCAACTCGCTCTGAGTTTATTAACTCGTTAAGAGTTATAAACTAATTTTTGGTTCAAATCAACTCTTTTACAGAGTTTAAACTCACACTGAGTTATTAAACTCGTTAAGAATTGTTTTCAAACTTGCCACGCAAGTTCTCCTTAACGTCAATCAAGAGTTATTAAACATTCGGATCGTTAACGAGATACAAGGATCTGATCTCCCATCGACACCAAGAAGAACCCATATTAAACAAAGGGAAGGGTTCCCGTCTATCCCTTCTCTCTTTTGTAAATCGGGAAACCGATCAAGAGGAATTATAATTTTTTTTCTAAGTTTGTTAGAGAGAGATTGCATTGAGAGAATTGTAATCTATTCTTTTTCTAAGTCTGTTAGAGAGAATAAAACAATTTCAATCTCAAATTCCTTCTTCATTTTTCCCACCAAACATATAATAATATTGCATTCTTGCAAGAATTGTATTGCATCGAGAGAGCTAATGTTTAGTGTGAGGCGGTGATTTATTTTGCTAAATGAGCTACAAAGTGATAGCCATGTGATGAGGCTCACACTAGTTGTCACATTAAAAGGTGTGAACTTCACACTTACTCTTTTATAGTTGTGTGTTTATTCTTAACTAAGCATAAATTAGGTAATTCATCTTCATCTAAACCACACTCCTTGTAATATCATAACTTGTATCATCACCAATCAACTGCAAGGTTCCAACCACAGCTACACAAATTAGAAATCATGATCTAGCGCAAATTATTGGGATGTAGTTGTACAATATCTCTTATTTGAGTAATAAAAAACTCTTCATTTAGTACTAGTAATTGTATAAGATGCTATACTACATGTAAATACAGGTATAAGAAGTGTACGATACAAAATAATGTGAAAATCAGCTCAAAGGTTGATTTCAGCCTCGTACCATTGATGGTTAACAATGACTCGTCGATGGTAGGTGAGCTCGTCGATATCTACAAGGACAAATTGATGATTTTCTGGAGAGAGGTTTTTAGATCATCGATGGTATGACATAATCCATCGATGAGGCCATGACACCATCAATGGTCAAGAGCTACCATCGATGATACAATCAGCTGATTGTATATTTTAAGTTTTAATCTCAGACGTTCGTTATTCATTTGATCTCCAAACTCTATAGCATTTAGGAAATCTCTTTCCTGACCTATTGGGGATATATATCATTGAAAGAGACAAAGAAGAGAGAGTTCTAGGGTTTTGAATTGAGAAGAGATTTTATTAAAGGCTTTGACCCCTGGACCCTTGATAAACTCTCCATCATCACGCACACAATCTTTGGATCATTTTAGCGAAAAGAGTTATCGTTGGATTCATCATCTACACTGTTCTTCATCGTGCTACACTTAGATTCATCAAAGGATGGTTTGTTTATCAAAAGCGCTGTAAATATCTTTCCTAATGTCTAAGCTTAATTGTGATTGTTTGGTTTTATTTTTAACTTATTTTTATGGTATACTCAAGCTGGTTGGAATTGAGGGTTGAGGGTGTTACTCATTGTGGAGAGTTATGTTAGATGACTTGTTTCGAATAGATTCTAGTGTGCAGTATTGTAAGCATATTGAATTGGGTTTGTGACTTAGAAGAACTTTTAACATAGTAAGAAAGCCCATTCGTGAGAAGTAAGAGTGGACATATGATTGTCATCCGAACCACTATAACATTTTGTGTGTTTTTGGTTAGTTGTCATTTGTGGTTATTTATCATTAATCGCTTTTGTTTTATCTATTCCACTGCATATTCTATTTTGTTTTAGAAAAAAAACAACAGTAACCCTATTCATCCCCTTCTAGACTTACATCTCTCAGATCCAACACAAAGGCCCTCAATTGTAGAAACCATGTCAATGTTAGGAAAATAATATCAGATACACTCTGACACCCGTTCTGCGGAATTTGCCCTACCGGATTTTGTGTTAAGCAATGGAAAAAAAGAAATCACACCAAATCAAAAATAATTGCAAGAACAGAGAACACCGAGTTTTAACGAGGTTCGGCAACTTGCCTACGTCCTCGGGAGCCACACAAATAATTTCGTTTATATTAAAGAAGATTACAAAGCTTGTAAAGAGCAAATCTCAACTTGAGATTTCTCAAGAGATGAACCAACAGAAACTCTGTTGTTCAAATAAAAGGCGTGAGATTTTACAACAGTAAAATCTCCTCTCTCTCTTCAATAAATCGCTACAGGATCACGAGATTTTTCCTCTGAAAAATCTCGGCTCGAAGCTGCTAATGGAGCTCTCCTTAATGCCGCCGCCAGGCTTCTGCAATTAAATCGCTGAGAGAAAACTCAGCTCATTCTCGTGCACAGGGTTCCCTTAAATAGGGAAACCCTAGGGCCAAAACGAGTGGGATCCAGCTGGATCCAACCCAATGCGCAGGTGAGTCCGCCTTCGCCTCCACGTCCGCAGCAGGCGAAATCCTCTCTCCACACGCAGGCGATCTTCACACCTATTCGAGCTCGCCTGACATTGCTCAAACCCGAGCTCGCATGTCCTCTATCAAATCCGCCTGTACTCAAAACAGCTTTGATCTCGCCAGCATAAAGGGCCTCGCCTGAAGCCCTAAAACTCGCCAGCAGAGGGTCTCTCCCTCGCCAGCTCTGGACTTCGCTAGCACGAGGCCGCCGACCTCGAGTTCTCCAGGAGAGCATCGCCTGCAGCCAGTGACTCCGATCTCAAACTCGTCTGAGCTCGCCTCCGCCGCTTGACCTCGCCGGAGCTCGCCTCGTTCGCCGCTGACAAGGTATGGATCTACACCCATTTCCAACAGTCAACACTTCAGCTTCTCTTACAAAATGATCCTAATCTTAACTCTCAAGCCAACGCAAGGACTTAACTTCTAAAATTCTTTATCCAGTGCACTTTACTTATTTTCTAAAAAAAAAAATTATCATTACCCTGGAAACAATGAATTCAATCAAAATTCAAAGGGTAACTACAATACCGCTCATCTTTTACACAGAGAAACAACCTCTCATATGCCATTGCCATTTCCTAGCCGTAAACAAGTATGCCGAATACTCTCTAACTTTCTTTCTCTGTGCGCTTAACTTCCTCTTTCCCTCCGACACTGCTGCATCCATCATTCGATCAATTCCTCCAAATTTGGTGCAAACATAAACCCAAAATCCTCCTCGATGATGATGCTCTGTTTGATACTAGGCAACCTAGTCGCCATGATTGGTGTCGCACATTGCATTGCCTCCATCAATGTGAGGTCTAACCCTTGTGGACGGAGCGTCGGATTGACAAAAATGTCGATGGAATTGTAGAATGCTTTGAGCTTGGACGGTGGCAAGGCACCTAAGGCGATCACATTTGGGCCGAGATCGGTGTATCTTTGGGCCCAAGGCCCGGTTCCGGCGACGACTAGGTAGACTTTTGGGTACCTGGTGATTAGTTTGGAGAATGCTCCAAACAGTAGAGGATGTCCTGTTATGCGACAATTCAAACAGTCAATTCAAAATTTAATAAGTATTCAAGATGCTGAATTGAATTTGCTACTCCTGTAGTTCAATTGTTGCATATGGGCCAAATGAAAGATTTCTATAGTTGCAGATTAGACCCCATGAGTGAAAAATCTATTGTTACAAATAGATCCCTTGAAATGGTTCAATTTTCACTTTGATGGTCTATCTGCAATAATTGCACTACATGGCTATTAAGTTCAATTTGGCCATAGTACATGATTCTATCCTCCATTAACCCTAATTGTATCACCTTTGTCTTTAACTAAACGCCCAGCAACGCCCATAACAACTGCGGCATTATTGGGTACGCCAATTTCCGATCGAAACTTTGCACCGAGATTCTTATCAGGTCCAAACTCATCCTCATCGACGCCATTGAGAATAACATGAACTCTTCCCTTTGGTATTTGATACATATCGCGCAACATCTCACCCATACTATCACTAACCGCAATATGGTGTGTGTAGTTCTTGAAGAATCTGATCTCACTGAGAACTTTGAACATCGAAGAAGAGAGGGAATTGTTGAAAGAGGGACTAGTCGGCTCGTCAAGCTCACGGATGAGATAATCCTGGTAGATGTTTGAATGTAGGACTTCAAGTGCAATACCGTGCCAAGAGACTACTAGATTGGGCAATCGGCTAGCAAACCTGTGACAGGTTGGTATTAAAAAAAAAAAATTGAAATGAGTTGCGTGGAAAATAAAGTATTTAAGAGTGGAAGTCGACTTCCACAAAATTAAGCACGGTTAAGTGCGGACAGATCCACTATACTATTTCCAAATTGAACCTACTATTCCCGTACTTCTAAGTTGCAGATAGACCCTAGAGTGTGTTTTGGGCGTAGTAGAATTCGTTTTGGGTACCTAGCTGCAATTAACCCCAAATAAGTACCTATGGTGTAGTGCGACACTTTCGGAGTGGACAACGTCGAAAGGCTCTACGAGATTCTCGGCCTCAAACAAGGCCCATGCATCTTCACACCGCCATTGGCCTGGCGGGCCTTCAAGGAAGTGGAGTTTCGGGTGGCCGGTGGAAGTGGGCACGGCTTCGTTCGGGGGCGGAGCAGAAGTGAAAACATGAATTCGATGGCCACGACGAGCGAGAGCGGTGTGGAGAGTTAACGCGTGCCGCTCCATGCCGCCTGGTGCAGACGCGGCAGGCCACTTACGGGAGAAAACAGCGATTTTGAGGGAAGTGGGGGGAGGTCGATCCGATGAGAAAGTAAGTAAATTCCATGAGAATTTCACATTTCGGAGGTCGCCGGAAAAGTGTTTGGAAGTGAGGGAAGTGTGGAAGAGTGAGGAAGAAGTGGTGGGAAAAGTAAGCAAGAGAGCACCCAGAGAGAATACGAGAAGGGCAAAAAGAATAGTTCGGAGGTGATTGAGGAAAGGATTGGAGGGAGATTTTCTGGGCCAAGAATTGGCACAGTTTGGGGCCATTTTTGGAAGTGAGATGGAGCAAGTTAGGGGTGTTCTGAGTTCTTTAGGAAGCGAGAATTTGAGAGGAGAAAAGAGGGAGCTGGCAAATTAACGTGAGGAAGTAGGGAAGTTTGAGTGCGTTTCGCAGGAACCCTTCTCCTCGTGAATGCGTTACTCTCAAACAAAAATTCAATTTGAAAAATAGGTTTGAGTTGAGGGAACGCATCAACTATTTGACTTTGTTAGCGTGTTAGGCACTTTATCTTGGAAATTGTTGCTTTCAAGTCGTGGTTATTTAGTTCCATTGTTACCTAGCTTAAGGTAGTTTGAGGCATGTACTATATGGATTTACAAATAGGGTGCAAATGTTCCGGAGTACGACTCGGATATTGTATCCGTATTGGCTTATTAATCACATGTACAAATGCGGATGCAGATATGTATTGGTAAGTAAAATTAATATTCATATCCGCTAAAATATGATATGGATATGGCGAAGATCAGTGTCGTAAAATATGACAGCAAGATCAACTTTGGTTTATGGATGAGTGATGTGCAAGATGCTTTGAATACTCTGAACTTAGAGGAGACCACCATGGTCCATGAGGGGCCACCAAAGTATGATGAGGTGGTATGAGACAAGATAAACCGAAACGCTTGTGGGGTAATTATATCTTATTTGGAACAAGAGCTATAGTACGATATGATTGGTGTGACGTCTGCGATAAAAATATGGGAGATTCTCAATAATAAGTATCTTACGAAGAGTGTTAAGAACAGTTTGCACTTGCTGCAAAGATTGTTTAGATTCTAGATATCCAGGGGTACCCTACTTGCAGATCACGTGAACAACTACACAAAGTTGTTGTCCGACTTGGCGAACAATGATGAGAAGATAACGGATGAGTACAATGTGATTATTTTGTTAGGATCCTTACCCGATGAGAAGTATGATACATTCGTGCTCACGTTGTTGAACGGTAGATCTTCCATCACTTATAGTGACGTGACTAATGTGTTCACGAATTATGATCTGAGGAGAAAGGACAAAGTGACTTTCAGAGCTAGCACTTCAGGAGAGGTCTTGTCGACGAGAGGAAGGAGTCTCCATCCAAGAGATGGTAATCCAAAGTAGGTCAAAGTCAATGGGCCACTACCAATTAACAAAGAACCAGTGTGCTTTTTGCAAAGAATAAGGACATTAGAAGAGAGATTGCGCGAAGCTCAGAGAGAAGGAGAATAGCAAGAAGAAGGGCCAGAAGGCTAATGAAATGAATGTTGCAAAGAGTGGTAACGATTCTAATGATTCATGTTTTTCTCTATCGATTACTCTAGAGGTTAACCATGGGGATGCATCGGATTGGATGCTGGATTTTGGTGCTACTTATCATGTGACTTCCTGAAGAGATTGGTTTGCATCTTTCAAGAAGCTCGATGGGCGTGTGGTAGTCATGAAAAATGATCAATCATGTGGCATTTGTGGGATAAGTACCGTTAGGATTCGGATGCACGATGGAGTTATTCAAGAGCTGAATGAAGTGAGATTTGTTCCTCAATTGAAGAAAAATCTTATTTTCTTTAGAGCTTTAGAGGCAAAGAGATTCAATGTGACTTTTGAGAACGCTGTAGCAAAAGTTACTAAGGGATATTTGGTAGTGATAAATGGAGTCAGTAGTAGGAATCTATATTATCTAAAGAGGATCACCGAGATTGGCCAGGTAGCTTCAGTTGTTTCAGACGTGAGCAGACTTTGGTATTACAGATTGTGGCACACAGGTGAAAATCACTGCATGCATTATGTAAGGAGGGGCTATTGAAGGGAGCCAAGAGTGGAAAGATTGAATTCTGTGAGCACAGTGTTCTTGGCAAGAAGATAAAGGTGAAGTTCAGGACAGCCATATATAGGACGACGGGCATCTTGGACTATGTGCACACGGATGTTTGGGGTCCCACCAAGACGATATTATTTGGTGGTCGATATTGGTTCATCACTTTTATAGATGACTATTGTAAGCATTGTTGGCTGTACACCATAAAATATAAGAATGAAATCCTAGAGTTATTTGTGGAGTGGAAGAGGAGATTAGAACTGCAGACTGGGAGAAAGATCATGGCGTTAAGATCTGACAACAGCGGCGAGTACACTACAGACCCCTTTTAGCAGTTTTGTTAAGACGGGTACATAGAGAGACACTTCATAGTTAGTCATACGTCGCAGCAGAATAGGGTAGCAGAGAGATTGAATCGTTTTTTACCGGAGAAGGTCTGATGTTTGTTATCACAGAGTGGTTTGGAGAAGATCTTTTGGGCTGAGAATCTTTCATATACGAGCCACCTCATTAATAGGCTATATTCATCTGCGATTGAGGGGAAAACCCCTATGGAGATGTGGTTGGGAGAGTCAGCACGCGATTAAGATCAGCTCAAGGTATTTGGATGCCCTACATTTTATCATGTGAAGACTGGTAAATTGGAATCTCGAGCTAAAAAGGTCATATTTGTTGGATTCAAGCGTGATGTGAAAGGATACAAGCTTTGTAATCCAGTTAATAAGAAGATTGTGCTAAGTAGAGATGTCACTTTCGATGAGGTTTCGATCTTTAAGCTTCCTAGCTCTCATCAGGTGGAGAGCATCCTGACAGAGGAGATATTGCAGGTAGTGAAGATTGATGCAGCTCCACAGTATCCAGATGGTACCGTACCCATTAGAGTGTCGACTGAGGTGACGCCAGCCGAGCACATCGATGATTTGGAGGATACTGTTCGCGGGAAAAATCGTGTCTTTCTTCATTGTTGATTCCATTATCATCTTAAATAACAGCTTTTTGAGTTCTAGTGAATCAAAACGTCGGATCGTCAACAGAGAGCAAACTCGACGCGAGCATTCGAGGGAGGCACTTCATCGTTGTTCGCGGGAAAAATCGTATCTTTCTTTGTTGATTCCATTGCACTCAAGTAATCGTTTATCCGTTACAAAGATCTGGTCTTTTTATAAGATCCGGTTACAACGAGATCAAAAAAGGAAATAAAAATTACAACTTTTCTCTTTTGTCGAACAAATCGCGAGCTCCTGTTTTGCGGTCGCTCGCTTTGTGGGTTCTTCGCCTGCGCCGGGGTTAATCCGTGGACCACCGCGCGATCTAGATCCGGTCGGATCTACGCAGTACGACGGATATTATTTCGCCAAGGAAATAATAGCCGAGGGTACTATTTCGCCAAGGAAATAGTAGCCTTTAATTCTCGGGATCAAAGACCAAGCTTTGATCCGGAGTACGCCTGCGTAGATCTGAGATCCGGTCCTCTCGAACTCTTGCCTTATTTGGCGTTGACAATCGCCGAGCACCAGATCTGGATGAACAAGTCCTCGAAGTCCCAAAGCTTGGATCTTTTTTTTAGATCCGAGTCTTCAATCCAGCAGGGCTTCGCCTCTAAAAAATCCAACCTTTTGAAATGAACCAAGGGGGGCCTATTTATAGGCTCTCTAAACTGTGCCCGGGCACAGATCTGGCCAGCCACCTATAGGTGGCTCGGCTCCGGGCCGGCCACCTATAGGTGGCTCAGCGGCTCTTGGCCGAGCCACCTTGAGGTGGCTCGGTTTTGGCGGAGCCCCTCTAGGTGTTGGGTTTCTGCTGTCGTTGTATCCGTTTTTCGGTTCTGTGGTTGATTTGTCTGGATTCGATTCGTTGATCTGATTTGGCAGTAAATCTGATTCCTGATTTGGCAGTAAATCCACTTCTGAGTTTAAGTCCGAAACTAATCTTGATTCGATCGTGATTCGTCCGAGTCCGCTCTTGGTGTTGATTTGAACTCTGATTTGTTCTGAATCCTGATTTGGAAGTCTGGATCCCGATTTGGCAGTAAATCGGCTTCGGTGTTTGAGTTCAAATCCGTTCCGTAGTTGGATGACTCGTTAACTCATCGACCCGTTGGCTTGATTCCGCACGCGAATGGATGCATTCCGTTGCTTGCATGCAATTCGTTAACCTCGTCGCCTCGTTAATCCGCTTCGTTGCGTGTCCCTTGGCTTCGGCGTTGTGGACTGACGCTTGTGTTTGGATATGTCGTCCGATGGTTCGTCGGTTTGTGCCGAGCTGTGCTAAGGGAACTATAAGCAATTTTATACGCCTACAGATACCCCCTCCAAAGTATTTCAGTCTCGTTCTTTTATAGAAGAGTCTGGAATACTTTGGATATGATTGTCCCAACCTTCAGTCGGTGTAACGGGACCTTGGAATGGCTTCTGTTCTTGATTCCTTCAATCCTTCAGGCTATTCGGTGCTTTGTCGAATGTCTGTAAGGGTTCCGGTGCTGCATTTATTGTCTGACCGTCTGTCGGAATTTTGAATTTAATGTCGATCCTCAATTTTCTGACTTTTTAGCTCGAGTTGGTTATTTCAACATAGAATTGACCATCGGTTGTTGGCGTTGAGTTCTCATTTGCGACGCGTTGTCCGGCGTAGTATTGTTGAGTTATCCTTAAGAATATTTAGAAAAATATTCTCCAGGAACTTCTCAACCAAAAATAAGGAACAGTTTATCCTCATGTACTTTATTGGAGTAACGATTCTTTCATTGCAACGCATTGATTGGCGTTGACCTAGGGTTACGCGTTGATCGGCGTTGACCTTAGGGTTTTAAACGTCGTACGCTGACTTTTTGATTGCAACGCGTTGAATAGCGTTGACCTAGGGTTACGCGTTGACCCTAGGGTTTTGAATATCGTTGGATGCTCAAGTCACGAGACCAACTAATGAAGCTGATGCGTCAGTGACTCTCGCATTTATAGGATTTTTGGCAACCCCTCAGCCATCAACGGGTTTGATAAGCCTTTACCGACTACCGTTTGAGTCGGGCTAGCATGCGGATTATCTTAATCCGTTCCGCATGTGACGTTGTGCTAAGAGAGTTAACGCTCTTTAGTGCTACGATATTGAATACGTAGACTTCGTCTTTCTCATGGGAATAGACTACCCGGCGACGCGTGTTAGGCGTTGACTTTAGGATTTTTGGCTAACCCCTAGCCTTCAACGGATTTGATTAGCCTTTACCGACTACCGTTTGAGTCGGGCTAGCATGCGGATTGTCTAAATCCGTTCCGCATGTGACGTTGTGCTAAGAGAGTGAATTCTCTGAGACTTTGTGCTATGATGTTGAATGCATAGGC